TCAGGAATTTCCTGAATCTCCCCTAAATGCAAGGGACGTGGCTGCAGAAACTGCCACTGATCACACGCTCATACGCGTGCTGAGCTGGGTGTTCTCAGGATGGCCTGACGTGCCCAGACGCTGAATTCATGCTTCTGGTGAACGAAGCATGAATTTTCCACTTTCAAGGGATGCCTGTTATGGGGGAGTAGGGTAGTGATCCCAGCCTCATTGAGATCTAGAATCTTGCTCTCTCTGCATGAGGGACATCCTGGTATAATAAGGATGAAAGCGCTTGCACGCAGCCATCTTTGGTGGCCTGGCCTCGATAAAGCCATTGAGGCTCAGGTACACAGGTGCCAACTGTGCCAATAGTCACAGCCTGAAATGCCTCAGGCCCCTGTACATAGGTGGGAGGAAATTCAAACCCCATGGTCACGGGTGCATATAGATTGTGCTGAGCCCTTTCAGGGGCAATTCTTCCTTCTCATCATTGACAGCCATTTCAATTGGCTAGAGGTTGTTCCTGTTTCCTCCACTACTACTGCCAGGACCATCCAGGTGTTGAGAGGAATTTTTGCCGTGCACGTGCTTCCATATGTCCTGGTTTCAGATAATGGCCCTCAATTTACCTCTTTTGAGTTCCAGGCTTTTCTTCAGGCCAACTTGATCCTGCATGCGACTTCTGCTCCCTTCCACCCATCCTCCAACGGACAGGCAGAGAGAATGGTGTGCACTACCAAAGATGCTCTCAAGAAACTGATTCACGGTAACTGGTATCACAGGTTAGCAGATTTCCTTCTTGCACCCTGCACCACACCTTGCACAGCCACAGGGAAGAGCCCTGCAGAACTCCACTGGGGTCGCCGCCTCATCACCAAACTGGACAGATTGCACCCAGACCGGATGGCTTCACAGGTGTCACAACCGCGGGCACCTAGGAGACTTCAGATGGGCGATCCGGTTTGGGCAAGGAACTATGGGCCTGGACATCTCTGGGTCACAGCAGTGGTCTGCAAGGTCTCTGGGCCGCTGTCATACGAAGTTGCCTTGGATGATGGCTGTGTTCGTCACAGACACATAGACCAACTGAGTTGGAGGCTGGACAGCCACATTTCTGCTCCTGGCTCTGCTCTGGGGGGGAGGACCATAATATGGGTTCTGGGTCACAGGTCCCTAGGCCTACCTAACAGGGCCGCATAAGCTGATGAGGTCGTTTGGGGGTCATCCCAAGTTTCCGCAAGTGCAGGAATTCCCAGGATAGGGAGTCATCCCACACATCCATTACTGCTCCAGACAGGGAGTCACACCAGGGTTATCCACATTATTCAAACATGTCAGATAGTGCTCCAGACAGGGAGACAGACCGGGGGTATCCACATAAATTAAACACAGCCATAGAAAGGGAATTCCATCAGGGGCACTCTCATAATTCAGCTATTCAGGAAGTCAGTGGCAAGAGGGTTTGCCATGGAGGCAGCTCCTGACTCTGGCACATGCATGGGGTCTACGGAGTTCTGGGGCACTTCCACCACTCAGTCCTCTCCATCTGCTGGCCTTGGGCTCAAGGGACAATGTTCCCAAGAGGAGTCCATTGTGGATTCGGGGATTTCCACCCCTCCAAGGTATACTGGCTTGGACTCAGAAGGTCCAGCCAGTCAGCAGCTGGGTGGGTCACCTGGGTATTTGGGGCATCAAACTCCTGGCCTGTCTAGCCTGGTAGGTAAGCAAGTAGGACAGGCAACCTCACCAGGGTCACCTGGGTATTTGGGGCATCAAAGTCCTGGCCTGCCTAGCATGGTAGGCGAGCAAGTAGGCCAGGCACCCTCACCGGCCCTTAGAAGGTCGCAGCAGGCAAAATGCCCACCTAAACATCTAGGAGATTATGTGAGGTTCCTGTCAACACATGAGAAACCTTGCTATGAGGTCACTGAATGAGGGGGTAACACTCAGAGAGAGTCTCATATACTATTTTGATTTTGGATATATTTTATCTGAGTTAAATAATTATTTTGAAAGGTGTCTGGCTGCATGCAGACCCGAGCATTTCCACCCTCCTTGTATTTGAATAATGCATCTGTGTTCCACTCCCCCTGCATTGCACAATGCACCTGTGCATAAGCTAGGTGTGTTTCATCTAGGGGGGGAGGGATGTTGTGTCCTGAGCCTGCAAAAACTGAAAGCAGGCTCAGAATTGTTGCAAATGGTCTTGAGCAATCCAAAAGCTACCCGGGACCAGACAGAGTAGCGCCAGTCTCGTGCGCATGCGCAAGGCGCGAAAATGGTCAATTCCTATTGGTTCACACTGTTCGGGTTTCAGGCACTGTGTGCCTTTTGCTGTTTGCTTGGTTGTAGGAAAGAGAAATAAAGAGCTTGTTGTTTTCACCATATGTCTTCGTCAATTGCCAACGAACCGAAAACACAACAGTCAGTGTACCTCTGCTTGGGCTTTGATTCTTGCCAGCTAATATTTGCTTAGTATAATCAAAGTCATGTAAATTACAGTATGTGCAATAGGTTCCAGAATTGATGGTATTTTCAGACAGTTTTTTTTTCTACATGCTCTTGTCTGTCCTTTCTACAATTTCTGCTTTTCAAGCTTTGAAGTATAGAAATGGAAGGCAGAGGTCCAGGTAACAATCTGAGATCTGAAATTTGAAAAGTAGTTCAGTATGATAAAGGAGAAAAAAGCTTGAAGGCCTATATTCTGCGTGTTTGTGTGTGTTCATAAGGATGAAACAAACAGAAAATTAGGCAAGCGATTGGAACATCTGATCATTTTCCAGCCCAGTCAGTTCAGATTTTCACAATCCAGGTATGTAATAGTAATAAAGTTGGAAGGAACTTTGGAGGTCATCTAGTTCTACCTCTGCTCAGGCAGGAAACCCTATACCATTTCAGACAAATGGGTGTCCAGTCTCTTCTTAAAAACTTCCAGTGTTGGAGCATTCACAGCCTCTGGGGGCAGGCTGTTCCAGTGATTAATTGTTCTAACTGTTAGGAAATTTCTCCTTAGTTCTAGGTTGCTTCTCTCTTTGGTTATTTTCCATCCGTAGCTTCTTATCCTGCCTTCAGGTGCTTGGGGGAATAGCTTGATTCCCTCTTCTTTGTGGCGACCCCTGAGATATTGAAAAACTGCTATCATGTCCGCCCTCGTCCTTCTCTTCATTAAACTAGACATACCCAATTTCAGCAACTGTTCCTTGTAAGTTTTAGCCTCCAGTCCCCTGATCATCTTTCTTGCTCTTCTTTCTAGAGTCTCAACATCTTTTTTCCATTGTGGTGACCAAAACTGGATGCAGTATTCCAAGTGTGGCCTTACCAAGGCATTGTAAAGTGGTATTAATACTTCACATGATCTTGATTCTATCGCTCTGTTAATGCAGCCTAGCACTGTGTTTGCTTTTTTGGCAACTGCGGCACACTGCTGGCTCACATGTGTGGGAAGGTAATGTGGAAGATCTGTAGAGACCTCTTGTATTACCTGCAGAGGTCGCAGGCAAAAGCTGCCTTGCCTTGTTCACAATGGATAGTCTCTGACAGTGATGAATCTGCTTGAGACCAGGGAAGGTACAGAGTGATCTTATACACCCAGGTATAAAAATAATGCTAGCTCTGATCTTTCCAAACCCAAAAATATAGAAGTAGGATCTCTATTTTCCTGAACATTTCTAGACAGGAATATTTGGGCTTCCAGTCATAAGTATTCAAGAAAGACAAGTACACAATACAAATACAAATACAATACAATACAATACAATACAATACAAAGAATATAATACAAATACAATACGATTCGATACAAATACAATACAAAGAATTAAGGGATCATCATCTATGGCTTTTTTAGTAGATGGAGATCTACTTGTCAAGCTATGGCATTATTTTGCTGGGAATTGAAGGTATTTTTATATTCCCGCTAAAAGTTTTTTCCCCAATTTCCTTAGGGCTTAAGCCACAGGACTTCTTATTAAACTGCAACCTTCATCTTAAGTGTTCTTCTTCTATAAAACACAAATAATAGTATGCTACCTTGGGTTGAAAGTATGAATAATGTAATAGACTACGATGATGCATTTTCTATATAAAAATTAATTTATGCTTAATAATTAAATTGCAAATAGCATTTGCTAATCCTTAACTACAGAAGAAGATGATGACCAGATCTGGGCTGACAAAAATTAACAGACCTGAATTGACTTGACTGTTCCACATGAATTTGTTCTTAATAATCCCAGGTTACTAAAGCAATTTATTTTTTTCCCATTACATTTTTTCTCTTGTAAATCATTAGTTGGCATCATTCAGAGTCAATCAGTTGCTTCAATTCTTACTAACACTAACTTACTTAAAAATATCCCATAACAAAGCCAAAAGTTGGGGAGGGAGGAGTAGAAGAAAGACAGCAATATAGCTGAGGAATAAATTCAACAACTACTACTTTTTTCTGCTTTGAGAAAATTTATGATTTTCCAATCTTTTGGTTTTTGGTTTCTTTTTTTAATGACACAAGTTCATGAATTCAGTTTAATGCAGTGGGAATTTCTTCCATGTAAATGTATTCAGGATTGCATCCTTAGAATACTATAGTATGAATTTAGGATAGCTTTTGAAGAAGTTTTATAAATTAAGCTGGCTAAAAGTTTAACTCAATACAATGATATGTCCCCTCATTTGAGATGCTAATGCTTTCCTTATTGCTGATGTTCCAGAAAGATGAACTGTGAAGGAATGGCACCTATCATAATAATCTGACGGATACTTTGGTTATCTGACACATTCTCCCTCTGAGTATACTATTTTATTTGAGATAAAAGTAGGAGGTGGACAGAGAACTTGGCTTTATCAAAACAAAGCTTATTCAGAAACCACCCCTCCATCATTAGTGGGGTTTATTATCAGGAAGATGTTAAAGAATGAGAACTTCAATACATGTTGGAACACTATGCATGGTGGTTAAAAGAAACAAGGATAATTCTGTTGTCCCTTTCTCACTGCATTGTTTTCCTTTCTTAACCTAGTGAACAGCGTTAAGCACATAGTAAGAAAGTACCGTGGGCATCTTCGAACAAAGATTGAATCTGGAGAAGGAACAATTCCAGCTAGATGTACCAGCGCAATTCAGACATGGGATGGCGTGTTGCTTGGGGAACAGCTAATCACAATGTCTTGCACAGACAAAATTGCCAGGTAATATTTTAATGAAACTGAACAGCAGGAAGGAGTGAGCGTGGAAATGATATTAATTAAATAAATAAAAACAAATCCTAAGAAATTTCTTTAGTGTTGCCATATAATTGCATTGTTTTAAACCATTGTGTTAGGGTTGGTTTGAATACATACATACATACATACATACATACATACATACATACATACATACATACATTTATATATATTGTGATGGTTCTGATTATACAGTGTTCTTCCATGTTATTACATATGCATTATAGCTATTAGATCACGACTAATATGCTTTTCATAGATTTACATGTTAGTAATGTATGATTTCTTTAGGAAAGAGATCACCTGTGTTTAGATGACTTTTCAGACTCATCTGAATTTTTTATATTCTGAATTACCAACCAAGGAATCAGTTACACTAGCTTGTAATCCTTACACACTGTAGAAATTTCCAATGTGTGCTTTAGAACAGTGGTTCTCAACCTGTGGGTCGGGACTCCATTTGGGGTTGAATGACCATTTCACGGGGGTCGCCAAACAACGCAGTCCGCCATTTTTTCCCCCTTTTCCTTAGCTGTGCTATTCCCTTTTATTCTATTGGCTTTTGAAAGCCAGTAGAATAGACTCTCTTGAATAGAGTCTAATTCTATTGGCTTTCAAAAGCCAATAGGAATTGTCCAGGCTGTCTCTGCCCTGCTGAGTCCACCAAAAGTCCCATTCTGCAAACGGTGCTGCACCAGTTGAGTAGTCCTCAACTTACAACCAGTTGGGGGTCGCGGCATTAAAAAGGTTGAGAACCACTGCTTTAGAATGTTCCCCCACAGTATGTGCCTGCTATGGAATTAGTACGAGAATATTGAACGCTTGCCAGCCTGTCTCCCAAAGACATTGCCCAGAGTTAGATGACCTGTAAGTAAGAAACTGTGTTAAATTATGATAAATCTATGCTGAAACAGAGGAAGATCATTTATCCAGGCCAAGAGGTAGGAAGTAAAGTATTCTCTCCCCCCAACTGCCTGTTTGGATCCTGATGAGAGAAAAAAAAAAGTTTCAATGAAACAAAACATTCTACTTATGAACCACAGCTATATAAAAGAGTTGTTGCCTTGCTAGGTTTTGTTTGTTATAAACACATCTTGCTTATCAGACTAAGTAACATGTTTCTTATGCTGAGCAATACAACCAGTTATCCATCCTAGTCCAAAGAAAAAAATTAAATTTGAATTTTGCAAAATTTTGTTTCAGCTACTCTAAATGTTCCTTCTGGTTCAGCACAATACCAGATACTTACAAGTTATGTTTCTGCAGACAGTATTCATTCTAAAATAGCAGGCCACAAAAAGAGCACCCAACTAACAAATTACATCTTGGAATATATGGCTCTTTGACAATAATGCATGAAATGTGACTTGGGCCAATCACCAGGCAATTGTTCTAGTCAGGGCTTTTTTTTTTTGTCATAGAAGGCCCAGAACGGAGTTCCGGCACCTTTTTTGGATGGAACCTTGTAGGGTAGGCAAGGCGGGTTGTATGACGTATGTGAGTTCCAGCACCTTTTTTTTTTTAACACAAAAAGCACTGGTTCTAGTTCTAATCTTGCCAGCTGAGTCAGCTTGGGCCAGTCTCTCTCTTTTAGCCCAATTCACTTCACAGAGTTGTTGTTGTGGAGAAAATAGAAATTAGGTACACTTGCTACCTTGAATTACTTATAAAATAATAATGACACGATCAAAAGACTAAAGATACATAAATAAATAATCAACATTGCATATATATATATATATATATATATATATATATATTCTGAGGTTTTCGCGGGTGTTTGTATGTAGGTCTTTGGTTGTTCGGGTTTTCTCCCGCGTAAAATTGGAAGTGTCTTGGCGACGTTTCGACGAAGTCCCATTCGTCATCTTCAGGCTGGTGTTTTCAGCTTCGTGCTTCGAGCAGCAATGGGTGGTCTTAGCTGTTTCTTCCTTTTAACTGCCAGTGGGGGTATGAACTGATTGGGTGGGAGCTTGGCTGTGTTCTGATTGGGTGGAGGTGGGTTCTGATTGGTTAGGGGCTTGGCTGTGCTCTGATTGGCTGGGGGGTTGGCTGTGCTCTGATTGGCTGGGGGGTTGGCTGTGCTCTGATTGGCTGGGGGAGTGTTCTGTTTGGGTGGGGGCTTTGTTGTGCTCAGGTTAGTCTGAGTTGCAGGGGGTTTAAGATGGTGGTCTGCCTTGCTATTTTTTTGGCTTCGTGTTCGTGGTCGTGCCTCATCTTCATGGTGGGTGTCAGTTTGCTTCATGTATGGATTGGAGGGGTTTAAAGTGGCTAATGATGCAGCTCTGGTCTGGCTTCTGGTTTGTGGTCGTGCCTCATCAGCGGTGTGGCTTTGGGTTTGCTTTTTGCGTGGATGTGTGGTGGTGACATTCTGTGTGGTTTTTGTGAGTGTGGGTCTTGTATCATTTTTTGTGTTAGGGAGTCATTTGTCAATAAGGGCGGGTTTCCAAATGGCTGGTAGGCGGGAGGTATCATCTCGCTTGTTCATGCTGTGTGGGCGTTTTTCTATCTCGATGGCTTCTCTGATTATTCTGTTATTAAAATGTTCACTTTTGGCAATGGTTCTGGTATTTTTAAAGTCAATTTCATGTCCTGTGGCTTTAAGGTGTTGGACCAGGGAAGATGTTGGTTCCTCTTTTTTGACTGAGTTCTTATGTTCTTCAATGCGTGCACTTATTCTTCTGTTGGTTTGTCCAATGTATGTGGTGGGACAAGTGGTGCATGGGATTTCGTATACTCCTTGATTTTCTAATTCAATTTTATCTTTGGGGTTTCTAAGGATGGTGGATATTTTTCTGTTTGTGCAGAATGCTGTTTTGATGTTGTGTTTATGGAGGATCTTACTGATTCTGTCTGTGGTGCCTTTTATGTATGGGAGGAGGGCTTTGCCGTTTTCTTGTTCTTTGTCTTGGATTTTAGTGGGGGTTTCTTTTTGGATTAGGTTTGTAATCTTATTTCTTTGGAATCCATTGGATGTTAGTACATTGGTGAGAGTGTGTAGTTCGGTTTTTAGGTGTTGTTCGTCAGCTAAGCGTTTTGTTCTGGAGATGAGTGTCTTGGCTACAGAGTTGATCTGTGCTGGGTGGTGGTGTGAGAGAGCGTGCAGATAGCGGTTTGTGTGTGTTTTCTTCTGGTAGATGGTGTGTCCTAGGGAGCCATTGGATTTCTTGTAGACTAAGACATCCAGGAAGGGAAGTTGGTTGTTAGCTTCTGTTTCCATGGTGAACTGTATTTTGGGGTGTAGGCTGTTGAGGTGTGTGAGGAAGTTGTCCAGTTTTTCTTTCCCATGTGGCCAGATTATGAAGGTGTCGTCTACGTATCTGAGCCAGAGTTTGGGTTTGTGATCCGATTTTTCTAGAGCTTGGGTTTCAAAGTGTTCCATGTAGAGGTTGGCAATGACAGGTGAGAGGGGTGATCCCATGGGTGCTCCTTCTGTTTGTTTGTATTTTTGTCCATTATAGATGAAGTATGTGTTGGATAGGCAGTGGTTGGTCAGATCTAAGATGTGTTTGGGGGGGTTATATTTGTTTTGGATAGCTGTCAAGGCTTCTTTGATAGGCACTTGGGTGAAGAGGGATATGACATCGAAGCTCATGAGTAGGTCGCTGGGCTGTAAGTTTTGTTTCTTTATGATCTCTATAAACTGGAATGAGTTTTTTACGTGTGAGGTGATGGATTCTGCATAGGGCTGTAGTTGTTTGGCGAGAAATTTGGCTAGGTTTTGTAGAGGTGAGCCTATGGAGCTGACTATAGGTCTGAGTGGGGTTCCTTCTTTGTGTATCTTGGGGAGACCATAGAGTTTGGGGTATCTGGATGATTTCTCTCTGGGAATGATTCTTTGCTGGATCTCTTCGTTAATGGGGGAGGCTTTTATTTTGGATCTGGTGGTTTTTTCCAGGTAGGTGGTGGGATCTGTATTTAGGGGTTTGTATGTGGAGTCTTGGGGTAGGTTGGATAATTTGGTTTGGTAGTCAGATGTGTTCATAACCACCGTGGCGTTGCCTTTATCTGCTGGTAGGATTATTATGCTGGTGTCTTCTTTCAGGTTACGTAGTGCTGTCTGTTCCTCTTTGGGTAATTTGCTTTTGGGTGGCTTGCTGGTGCAGAGGATGTTGGTTGATTTTGGTCAGGGTGGTTTCAACTCCACATATAATGGTTTCAGTGGGGATGTTGAATCGTTTGGAAAGGACATTGGTTTCGGCTTTGGTGAGGATCCTATCTGAGATATTATGCACTGTTTGTTTCATGTGTGGCTGTGAGGGAGGAGGGGTTTGTTTCTGGCATTCTTGTAGTCTTCGGAGTTTGTTGGTGTCTGTATCTGTCTTGAGGGTGGTCTGTGTTTCGGCTCTCCAGGCGGCGAGTTGTTTGGATTTGTCCCAAAGTGCGGGGTGGATCTTGTTGCTGAGTTTGAGGTGGACGTAAAAAACTCATTCCAGTTCACAGAGATCATAAAGAAACAAAACTTACAGCCCAGCGACCTACTCATGAGCTTCGATGTCATATCCCTCTTCACCCAAGTGCCTATCAAAGAAGCCTTGACAGCTATCCAAAACAAATATAACCCCCCCAAACACATCTTAGATCTGACCAACCACTGCCTATCCAACACATACTTCATCTATAATGGACAAAAATACAAACAAACAGAAGGAGCACCCATGGGATCACCCCTCTCACCTGTCATTGCCAACCTCTACATGGAACACTTTGAAACCCAAGCTCTAGAAAAATCGGATCACAAACCCAAACTCTGGCTCAGATACGTAGACGACACCTTCATAATCTGGCCACATGGGAAAGAAAAACTGGACAACTTCCTCACACACCTCAACAGCCTACACCCCAAAATACAGTTCACCATGGAAACAGAAGCTAACAACCAACTTCCCTTCCTGGATGTCTTAGTCTACAAGAAATCCAATGGCTCCCTAGGACACACCATCTACCAGAAGAAAACACACACA